TTAAAAAAAAAAAAAAAGAAGGGAAAAGTGTCATTAAGGGTGTTCAAGTATAAAAGTTGTTTTCTTTTCTTCAAAACTCTCTTTTCATGAGAAATTAGAAACACTAATCAGAAAGAATATATGCAAACTTATGTTCATAGCAGCACAATTTACCATAGCTAAGATTTGGAAATAGCCTAAGTGCCCATCAGCAGATGAATGGATTAAAAAACTGTGGTACATCTACACAATGGAATACTACACTGTGGTAAAAAAGAAGGAATTCTTACCATTTGGAACAGCATGGATGGGACTGGAGAGCATTATGCTAAGCGAAATAACCCAGTCAATGAAGGAAATATACCACATGATCTCACTCATTTATGGATATTTCTCTTTTATTAGTGTAGATGAACAAAAATAGATACAGAGGCAAAGCAGTACTGAACAGATTGTCAAACTACAGCAGGAAGGCCAGGGAGGGTTGGGGGCGGGGTAAGAGATCAACCATCTAAGGCTCTTTAGAAACTTCTTAACAAAATAAGCATATCAAAGAATTTCACTTTTCAAAACTTCACAAAAGGCATGCATGCCCGTGTGTGTGTGTGTGTGTGTGTGTGTGTGTGTGTGTGTGTGTGTGTGAGCAGAAGGGAGAGAGAGAGAGAGAGAAAGAGAGAGAGAGAGGTGTGTGTGTAGAGAGAGAGAGAGAGAGATAGATGCATTTAAAACTATCAGGTGCTATTGCTGCCTATGGCAAGGGGCATGCAGGAGGCTTCTAAAGTTGAGGAGCCAAATGCTTCTACTTGAAATTATTTAAGAACCCAGGAAAGGCCCTAACCACTTCAGAGTTCATATGGACAGTATCCAAGTTGATAAGAGTGCTTTTCTCTTTCAGCTGTTGTAGGTCACAACAGCTTACAACTCCAGAAATGACTGATGTCACACAGGTCTATTGGTCTTTAGCCAAAAACCTTAAAAGAAAGGCTGAAAATTTTCAAGTTGGAGGCTTTTTGGATGCTTGGGAGAGGTAGGTCTGTCTGTCAACACAGAAAACAACCCACTGAATTTCTTTGAGGTGAAACAAAAGATTGATGAAAAAATATTTTCTCCTATGGAAAAGCATGGTCATATATTTACCAAGGCAAAGGTATCTTTTAGAATGGATAACAATCTGAAGTTTCCAAATAATATAAAAGGGTCTCCCATGTTTTTTTAGGAGGGAGGGGAAGGGGGATGAAATTATCTTTCAATTTTTATGTAATACTAGAGGCCCGGTGCACAAAAATTTGTGCACTGGTGGGGCGCTGTTGAACGGTATCCCTA